GCAACGGAGCTCGGCTTTAACCACTTATGTCCTTTACGCCCTCGTCTGAACGGGGCCTTAGACACAAAGAAGTCCATGAGGACCTTTTTGAGGTCTGGCTGGTTGTTGAAGGATTTTGCATGAAGTTGGTTGTCCAGGGAATGAAAAAGGTGGTAGTCTGTTAGCATGAGGTCTGGCGAGTATGGTGGATGGGTTAGTGTCTCCCAGCCTAGTCACTGGATGGTGTTCCTGGCCTCCTGAGCTATTGTCATGAAGGAGGAGTACACCCTTACGATTGACCAATGGTGGCTCTTTATGCATCAGTGCCTGATCCACACGTTCCAGCTGCTGTGAGTACAGGCCTGCCATGATGGGTTGGCCCCTTGATGACTAGTCCACCAGATACGAGCATGATCTTGTGTGGAGTGGAGAGAAGGTCTCTCAGTGTGACGCACAGGTTCCATGGCGACAACCAATATCTGGAACGACTGGGTGTGTCATACTGGACCCACTTTTCATCGCTGGTGAGTACTCGATCAAATATGGGTGCTTTGTGGTGCTGAGTAAGCAATGACATAACAGGCAGTGACATGCTGTTGCTTGTTTGCATCAGACAGTGAGTGGGGTACCCATTTGCTCAGCTTGTATGCCTGCCTTTCCTATATGCAAATGGAGTCTGATCGTTTCATCAAATATCTGGAAGTGTGCAGCTAGCTCACCAAATATTTGGCTACTGTCACTCTCTATGGCTGCTCTCAGGGCCTCATCATCCAGCACTTGTGGCCTACCACTGCATGGTGCATCACTAAGCGACATATCCCCTGACCTGAACTTCTGGAACCATTGCCTAGCGGTTTGTTTGTTAATGGCATCATCCCCCAAACCTGGCAAATTTGGAGACTTGATTCTGCTGCTGACAAGCCCACTTTAAAAATCATACAGCAAACATCTCCAAATGAGTGCCTTCGACACAATCAGTTGCTGTGTGAGTTATGTTTGAAGTACCTTTATGCGCTTTTGTACTCTTGGTCAATGTCCGGACTCCCATCTTAACCTCTTCATCGCCAAGCTTGGTAACTATTTTTATGTTGTGGTTCGCTCTTCCAATGTCATATCAGAAACGGCGAAAGCTTTTTTGGTTACCTTGTATACAAAACTCTTTATCTGCATAATATCATAGTAATTACTGAAACATCTGACCATTAATAATGATAAAGCCCTGGAAGTGTTGATTCATTGATCGGGATGCATTGTGGGCAGTGTCACAAACAGTTATGTTGTATGTATTTTTGCAAAAGATTTTTAGAACAGACGATGTTACAAATTTAGTGTAGTGGCTTAAATAAAAAGGTGAATTTTTGAGAAGAAAAATATTGAATATGGAGGTTTATTTAGTTTGCATTATCAAATCATTTGCAAAGCAATTTTATCGAGTTTGAATGGCATCATGTGACTTCAAACAAGTCTTTGATATTAGAGAATTTTGTTTGTGATGGTGCCATTTATGTTCTCTGAGAGAGCAGACATTTATCTTAGGAGGCTGTAAATTGTAATGGAAGAGAGTCATTAAGGTTGTATCACGAACATTTCCCCAATAGGACAAAGCCATATCTCAAAACTTTTTCCATGCTTACGGAATTTCCATTTGTGCTTTCCATTTGTGAGAGCGTTTCATTTCATGTTAAGAGACCAGATGCCGGTTGCTTGAAACAGTGCGGTGTGGCCATATGTTCCATTCAAATTTCGACTTTATTTTTATCATTTATTTATTATTTTTATCAGCCTTCACAATTTATCCCATCCTGGCATCAGAGCTTCCTGCATGTTACTTCAACAGCGTTTTGTGTGGCCTGGCATGCAGAAGGACATCACTGTATGGGCTAGAACATGTGCAGACTGTCAAAAGTAAAAAATCATAGACACACTCAGAACTCCATCGCAACACTTTGATTAAAGATAATAAAAGATACAGTTACATATATAACAGGCTACATCTTTTGCGTATATAGTCAAAAGTCGTTAATCCGGATTTGTCGGGACTCCGGCGATTCCGGATTATAGATCATCAGTTTAAATCTGGTAAGATGTCATGCAGAAATTATAAAATTAAAAATATGAAACCGTAATTTATGAAATAAAGAACAATTATGATCTAAAGGGTATCAAAATTTACAAAAAAAAAAAAAAAAAAGCTTAATATTTATTTTTTAACTTTATTAAACATTTCTTTCAATGTAAGTTGTTTAAGTTGCTTCGTTTTTTATGTGATAATACATTTTCTTTAATTCTATAAACAGACATAATTTCTTGTTCAGTTACAAAGTTCCGCTGTTCAAGTCCTATAATTCCTGTGTCGAGAATACCGACTAATTTGTCAATCGAAATTTTTTCGTTTTCAATAACCTCTGTCACTTTCTTCGCTATCGGAAGCGAATTATAATGACGAGGAATTTGATTTAAATCATATCAAAGACGGAGTACATCGAGATGAAATACTACATTTAGTAAGGAATTATAAGCCGAATAAAATAAAAACATCTGCCCTGAAGATAAGGATAGTGGTGACAGATCAACTTCCAGTTCATTGCGCGCCGCAACGTCCCCCCCCCCCAGAGCAGCAGCGTGAAATTGATAAACAGATTTCGGAATGGTTAGAGAAACAAAGGATATGCCTTTATCCATTTTTTGCAGCAATTCCACTTTTTGTTTGATGGACATCGAAAAACATGCTTTCGCTTTGTAGTTCCAGATTGGAAATTCTTTTGACATAATCGAAAGTTCAAGCTTACTTTTATAAAATTGCTCTAACAGTCTGCAAAAAAATAATAAGCCAGATTCCAGTTAGAAGATTAAGGAACAACGCAATCTGCAACATTAACTGAAATGGATAATTAGATAATTTTAGATTAGCTTTATACCGTCCGTTATACATTAAACGCACATGTGTAAAGGTATTATGCGCATGCGTAAAGGTATTATGTGCATGCGTTAATGCATGCGCAGAAAGTTTGTAGTTTGAGGTCCGGATTAAAGACTTTTGATATAGTGCATATTAAAATATGTCAAAGAAATTAAGGCAATATATCAAAAGAAAGCAAATGCAGGTACAAAATACCAGGAGAGTTTTTACATTAATATCAAAAAAATAATTTGTTCTCACAGTAGTTTTGGCAAATTTGTGCTTTTTTAGTCAAAACCCTGGACTGTTCAGAGGGTTAAATAAACAGCATTTAGGAATATAAAGAAATCTAATTTTTGAATGTTCATCTTTTCCTTATTTTTAAATCTATCATTTTTGTATCCAGTATATAACTCGCACCGGTAAATTTTGATCTTCTTTTTTGCATATGAAGCTGTTTTATGCTGGAATATACAGTAATAATTTTTCATGGTCTTAGGATTAGATATTAAGTAACATAATAAATTAATAACAAGGTATTAAATTTATATTTTTTTAGCAAAGAACTTCAAACTGCAATAGGAATCACCAGAAGCAATAAATATCGCTATCCAAAATCGTACTTTTATGAAACAAATGTAGTGTTTCACTATTCCATCTGATTATTTTTCTTGGGATAGAGCATAAAATGGTCTATAAATTTTAAATCAAGTAATTTGGACTTTAAAGATAAATCTCTTGTAGACTAAACATTTTTAATTTAATTTTGTCTATTGATAGTTGTAATTCCTTTAAACAGTGAAATGTCACTCAGTTAAGCATTTTTCATTACTTCACAATCATATAAATGATCAAGAAGGTGTATGAAGTAATGAACTTTTAAAATGTTTAATTTCTCCTACAAAATGTTAGCTCATTTTATTCTAAAATAATAATAAACAGATCTTTATATTTTCAACATTCTACTCTGTGACAGAACAGTGTATCAGTTTATAATTAATGTATAGAACAGTTAAATGTTTATCAAGATTTCATATAGAATAATGTAAGCAAAAGGCAGCATATCTGAATAATTTTGGAACATTTTTGTATAGAAATTAAGTGTTTGTTTTTTAACCATAAATTTTTACATCTTTCTTTTTATCCATCGCTGTGTACATAGAAGTGTATGATTTTTTCTTCTCATGAGAACTAATCTTTGTATAATGGGAATTTCTATTTCAATTTATTACTAACTTCAGATTTACAGCAGTTGATTCTAGAAGTAAAAGATCATACTATCACAAAACTATTTTAAGTATTGGGAACATTGTAGGAGGGAATATTGATTACATAATTTTTGTATATTCATAGATAATTCAATGTCTATAAAAATTCCTTATATTTGTTTAACAGTACAAACTTTATGTATTCACTTCAGAAAATCTTATAATTTTGGATTGAAAAATATTTCATTGGGTAGGATATTTCATAAGAAAAAAGTTAATTATGTAGTGATAAAAGTATTTTATGCTGAAATTGATGATTGTAGTGATTTAATAAAAGCCATAAATGTGTGTGGCTATAGAAAAAGAATATAAATGTAGTTTGACTACACATAGAAAAACCAGTTAAATTAAATTAATTGTTATAGAAGATTTTCTGCATTTTACTTTCAATAGCATATGTTACAGTGTATTTTATTGTAATTAATATACGTAAGGATTTGAAATTTCAGTTTTGCAGTTACTAAAGGAGAATTGACTGTTGAAATACTGAGGTTCCATTCAAGAATTCATTTAGTAGTTTTAATGTTACTGAAGTATTTTTAATATGTTATGTGGCAGTGTATGATATTAAATAACCCTTAATAAATATATAAATCTCCAATCACATTGCAAAAATCAAGGAGTGCTTATTAGCAATGTTGTAAAACACACACCCTCACATCTCCCAAAAAAAAATTGATGCTGGTATTTAATAGGTTTTATTGCCTAATATGTATTTATTTTATGTATGTATTTTTAATTAATTAGCAATCCTTTCAATACTATGCTTTATTGAATTTAAATTGAAACTTTATAATATGCATTTTGTTGAAATATCAAATTTGGAAGTTATTAATTTAACTAATTTTTTTTAGGATGATTCATCTATGGATGAATATGGTGTAGCTGCTGCTATTTTACCATTGGCTATGGCATTTTGCAGAGTGAGTTTGTGATAACTTTCTTTTGTTATGTCTAGTCATTGTAAATACACATTCCAGATGAAATAGCTATATTAAATGTGAATACATCTATCTATCCCTCGATTTACACGATGTTGGTTTTGCATGCTTTAAAAATTAATGGATTTCAAAAACTTGTTAAAAATGTACATTTGGCTGCATATAATATAATACAAGGTGTGGCTATTAATTTTCTGGACTGCTCTAATAACACCAGAACAGAAGATGTGAAAAACTTAACCTTTTAATATGTTTTGAAGTAATCCCCATTGGTCGTAACACACTTTTGTGCTCAACTGTATAAGTTGTGGAAACAACTTTTAAAGTCTTCTTTCAAGCGGCTTTTCAATATTTCTTTCAATGTAAGTTGTTTAAGATGCTTCCACAAGAAACTCGAAATGTTCTTTTTTCTTGTATCATGTACAGTGGACTTTCCAATGACATACTCCTCACATACTTTTGAGACAGATATGCCTTTATCCATTTTTTGCAGCAATTCCACTTTTTGTTTAATGGACATCCAAACATGGTTTCGCTTTGTAGATCCTTTGACAACTCCGGAATTGGAAACTCTTTTCGACATAATAGAAAGTTCAAGCTTAGTTTTTATAAAATTGCCGTAATAATAACAGTTTGCAGAAAATAATAAGCTGAATCACATTAGAAGATCAGGGAGCAATGCATTCTGCTATATTAATTGAAATACCTTAGAATCAGTAAAGATAATTTTAGCGTAGCTTAACAGTGTCTGTTATACATTATTGGCTGTTCATCACAAGATTGGCAACGAAATCCAAATTGTTTTGCTAATTTTTGTCTTGCTCCTATTGCGTACTGAATTAAGCTTGAATTGTATTAGTTTAGTTATTTACTATACCTACATTTATTTCTTGCCCATGCTTCAAACTAATTCGAGTCCTGAATAAATAAACTCCCACATATACTTAAGGCTTTACCTAGGGCCAGCGCTCGATACTGCTTGGTGCAGTCTTTACGGCTCCTAAATTCTGCTACAAAGCACTTTCCTAAGTTCTAAATTTTCACCATGCCTAAACTTTGGATCCCAGTGCTTTCCCTAAATCATAAAAACTTCTCACCCCTTAATTTTGCCTCTGGGTGCTTCCCCAAATTCCAAAAATATCGTCTTCCCTAAATTCTGCCGTCCGGTGCTGACATATTCTGCTGCCGCTTCTGGGTTTATGGTGAATAACATATCAGTTATTCTTAATTAAAATAGCACTAAATGTTTCATTAACAAAATCTATTTTTAGCATATGAAAAGAAATTTTTGTTGAATTTTTCCTCGTCGACATTTCTTAGAGTATTTAAAAATCTATAATCATCGCCAAGCATAATGTTAGCATAAAAGGTTGCCATACTCTCAATTACTAATATAAAAAAAGTTTAGACATCACAGCATGAGTTATTACTGAAGTTGTCATGTATTTATAAACATGTGGTGATGAAAGCAAATTATAATAAATAATGACTTGCTAGGTCGGCGTCAGGGATATAAAATAGGTGAATGTTTCGGTTTGAGAGCGTATTACCAAGTAGATACTCAGCTACAGATCCACATTATTAATCTCACAAATTTATGCTTACATGATGTTTTTTTCCATAATGAAGTATTTTATTTAGTGCCTAAGTGAAATTAAGAATCGGAATTTTTAAGTGAAAATCTCCGCATGTTTTATTATGGAAGGAAAAATCAAATGCACATGCGTAAGGCATTTATTTTTTTAATTCTTTGTGGCTTTGAGGTCTGGATTTTAGATCATTCCGGATAATGGACATCCGAATTTCGGACTTTGTACTGTATAACTTCATTGCGAATTTGGATAGTTTATACATCCGAAGTATCTATTGCGGCAATGTCTGATGTATCTGTAATTCACTGTTTCCAGATGGGCAGAGCTGACCAGCTGTTAAATATGGAGCAGATAGGCAAGGTTATTGGATAAAAGGAAAAAATTCCATTAAATTTTCTGTTTGCATTGGTAACAACTTTACGTTTTGAGAAATGCTTACAGAAGCTTGTTTGTTGACCTTAGTGAAATTTTCCAAAAACGTCAGGAGGCTGTTTATTGGTTTCAGGAACTTGTAGTATATATTTACGTACAGTATCTCATAATTCCAGTGTAGAATAGAATTCTTTGGCACATTTCAGGTAAAAACAGAATTCAGCTGTATTTTTGCACGTGAAAAGAAAAGAACTGACTGGGATTATTGTGAGGTTGCCAATTGATTTGTGACAGAATGTAGTCTGAGAAGAATTGCTGGGTTTAAAGTTAGAAGATAATTAATTGAAGAAATTGAATGCTATTATTGACTTCTTAATTGATCGTAAATTGCAAGTCAGGCAATGTTTCTGAAATAAAAGATAGCAGAGCTTCATATTCTTAATGTTTTTGCTGCATAAAAATACCATCTGCATATCTTTTGCAAAAAATGAGTTTTGGGGAAGAACTCCGGAAAATATTTTTAATCAGCTAAAATTTCAGCCAAGACAGGTGACATCGTTGCTCCCATAAAGAGACCTTCTTGCTCTTTTTATGCTTCTCCATTAGCTTTAAAATGTAATTCATAGTTTTTTTTATTCTGGGCTTTTAGCAAAATAATTTGTCTCATTTTTATCTCATAGGTCTTTCAAGTCAGAAATTTATCCATATCTTGGTCTTAACCTTTTCATTTCTGTTGCTGTAAAATGTATTATATTAATATAACATCCAGACTTTTGTGATTGCAACCTAATTTGGAAAACGTAGGAAATGTTTAAAAATGTAAAGTTATAATTTAACTGTCCCCCTATTTTTTTTTTTTTTTTTTTCTTCTTAAATTGCAGTATTTCAGATAAATGCATTGCAGAATTTTTGTTGATTTGTCAAACTTATCATTTTTTTAATTCCAGTTTTGTATGTTTTTATATGAAATATTTTATTGTACTTCTCTTATTATATGATTTCTTTTTGTTAGAATTTCTTCTAGATCTTGTTGGAAATGTTTTTTGCTTAGTTGTTATTTGTTTAATTATAATTAAAAGTAATTGATACTGTGCTTAAAAGCTGTTATCTTAGGTACATTAAGTTACTTTTGTCATTAAAATAAACTTTTTGTATTTAATATATATTTTAATATTTTATACTCTAATTTTTCAGAAGTTATGCACTGGTGTGATACAGTTTGCTTATACATGTATTCAAGAACATCCTGTATGGCAAAATCAGCAGTTTTGGGAAGCTGCATTTTATCAAGATGTTCAAAGAGATATACGTGCTCTATATGCTCCACATCGTGTGCCAGTTGGGGACAGAGAATCATCTTTATCACCTGTCAGTCCTCGAGAGGTACTTGGTTATTAAAGTATAATTGTTATTTAATATGTTAAGAGAACATGTTGTTTGTGTTTAACACTTGTTTAAAAATAAAAGAAATAATAATTTAGGGGACTTCGAAGTTTTTTTTATCAGAAATTATATCTTTGAAATTTTAGTGATTTCTTCAAAGACAAAATATATATATACAGTTTTTTTTTTTTCTTTTTCTCTCTTTTCCCATGTAGCCATAATTTAAGGAACTGTAGCATGGAATATAGAGTGATAAGCCATCAAATTAGTGTGTTTGTTAAAAGTGCGCTGTTATGAAAATATGATAAATTTCATATGCTGTAAATTCATAACTGAAAAATATATGATATGATAATATAAAGTATACGATAATGAAAAAATAATCAAGGTAATGGAATTTCAATTTTCTTGGAAATTAAAAAAAAAATCCCCTGTATTATTGCAAATGCAGTGCTTAGTACCATTGTGATAAGAACTGTTTCTATATAGAGTAATTGCATGGAATGATTTACTAGGGCAATGAAATTGATTACTTAGAACAGTTTTCTAACAAATGGTTAATTACATAATACAGTACAAAGTCTTTAATTCGGACTCGCTGGGACTTCGGCGATTCCGGATTAGCGGTTTTTTCCGGATTATAGATCATCAATTTAAATCTCAAAGGATGGCATGCAGAAAGTATAAAATTAAAAATATGAAACCGTAATTTATGAAATAAAGAGCAATTATGATCTAAAACATATCAAACTTTACAAAAACAAAAAAAAAGCTTAATATTTATTTGTTTACTTTATTAAACATTTCTTTCAATGTAAGTTGTTTAAGTTGTTTCGTTTTATGTGCTAATACTTTCTCTTTAATTCTATAAAGGGACATAATTTCTTGTTCAGTTACAAAGTTCCGCTGTCAAGTCCTGTAATTAGGCTCACCAGCGGCCGAGCGGTAAAGTCGTTGAACACTGGTAGTTCGGTCCGAGGTTCGAATCCCACATACAGGCTGGCTGCATGGGTGTTTTCATGGTTTTCCCCATGTGTAACATGTATACGAGCCAGTTTCCCTTAGAAAGTCCTCCACGAAGGCATCCCTCCCCTTAGGCAGATAGCCCTAGTGTGCTTCGCCATAATTAAATACACCACACACCAAGTCCTGTAATTGCTGTGCCGAGAATACCGACTAACTTGTCAATCGAAATTTTTTTGTTTTCACTAACCTCTCTGTCACCTTCTTCATGCCTTTATCCATTTTTTGCAGCAATTTCACTTTTTGTTTGATGGACATCGAAACATGCTTTTGCTTTGTAGATCCTTTGGCAGTTCCAGAATCGGAAACTCTTTTTGACATAATCGAAAATTCAAGCTTACTTTTATAAAATTGTTCTAACAGTTTGCAAAAATAAGCTGGATCCAATTAGAAGATTAAGGAACAATGCAATCTGCAAACATTAACTGAAATAGATAGTTAGATAATTTTAGCTGAGCTTATACCGCCTGTTGTACATTAAATGCGCATGCGTAAACGTATTATGCATATGCGTATATGCACATGCGTAAATGCTACGCATGCACAGAAAGTTTGTGGCTTTGAGGTCTGGATTATAGATCATTCTGGATAATGATGTCCGGATTAAAGACTTTGTACTGTATATTGTGTCCCCCACATATTCAATAAAAGTTTTTTTTAATATGTATATATAGACAGATAATGTACTTATCATTAGATCAATAAATAGTGTGGTTGCTTGCCTTTCAAACTGCAAAATCTTTTTTTTTTTTTTTTTTCTGGAGGGGGGGATAATGAGAACCTGTGATTGTTTGAAGTCTGGTGCTGGGTTGTGAGGTATTTTAATGAGGCATTTTAATCAAGTTACTTTCAGTCAGTATCATTGTTCCAAATTGAAATTATACTCACTCTGAATAGTCCCATTGCTATATTTATAGATGTGTGTAGTTACTTTACACTGTTTTGAGGAATGAATATTTTATGCTACAGTCAAAAGTCGTTAATCCGGACTCGTAGGGACTTCGGCGATTCCAGATTATCGATTTTTCCGGATTATAGATCATCAGTTTAAATCTGGTAAGATTGCATGCAGAAATTATAAAATTAAAAATATGAAACCGTAATTTATGAAATAAAGAACAATTATGATCTATTACAAAAAAAAAGCTTAATATTTATTTGTTTACTTTATTAAACATTTCTTTCAATGTAAGTTGTTTAAGTTGCTTCGTTTTTTATGTGATAATACATTCTCTTTAATTCTTTAAACAGACATAATTTCTTCAGTTACAAAGTTCCGCTGTTCAAGTCCTATAATTGCTGTGTCGAGACCAAACTAACTTGTCAATCGAAATTTTTTCGTTTTCAATAACCTCTGTCACTTTCTTCGCTATCGGAAGCGAATTATAATGACAAGAATTTGATTAATCATATCAAAGACGGAGTACATCGAGATGAAATACTACATTTAGTAAGGAATTATAAGCCAAATAAAATAAAAAACATCTGCCTGAAGATAAGGATAGTGCTGACAGATCAAAATTCATTGTGCGCCACGGCGTTAAAGATAAACAATATGCCTTTATCCATTTTTTGCAGCAATTCCACTTTTTGTTTAATGGACTTCGAAACATACTTTCGCTTTGTAGGATCCTTTACATATTAGTAAATATATATCAGAAATTCTATTTGACTTAATGGAAAGTTCAAGCCTTTTATAATATTGCTCCAAGAGTCTGCAAAAAAAAATAAGCCGACTCCAATTCGAAGATTAAGGAATAACGGATTCTGCAACATTAACTGACTGATTAATTTTAGCTAGCTTATACCGTCCGTTATACATTAAACGCGCATTCGTAAACGTATTTTGCGCACACGCATATTCGCAGCCGTAAAGGTTTTACGTGCATGCGTCAATCCGACGCGCAGAAAGTTTGTAGTTTTGAGGTCCGGATTATAGATCATTCCGGATTATGGGTGTCCGAATTAACGACTTTTGACTGTATTATCTCGGAACCTGGTTGTGATATAATGCGAACTGAACTTGTACCTGTTTATCCAAAATTTCTTTTATGATAATATTTACACATCTGGGCAAAGTTGTCTTCAAAACTTTCATCTTCAACTCGGTGGCATGCCCTAATTTTCACCGAAGGGAAATAGGAATGAATAAAAATTTTAATCTGTTAGATAACCACCCTCATACAGTGGGGTATTTATATTAGAGGGGTGAAAATTAGTACTAAAATTTGTTTATGTTCTTAGAAATATTGATCACTATCAAAAGTGGTCATTTTAAGGAGGAGGACATTATGGCAAGTTAATTGTATTTTGAGTAATGATGTAATATGAAGAGTGAATATAATAATGTATAATATGCTGTGATAAATTTGTGAAAAGGAGATGAAGAAGGAAAATCAGAATGATAATGCCATAACAATTTTTTAATCTGGTAGATATCATAAAATATATATCAATAACAGAGTTGCCAACTCTCCCGATTTAGGCGGGAGACTCCCGATTTTCGACCGCTCTCGCGCCAACCCGATTTTCAATATATTTCTCCCGACTTTATCTTATTCTTAAAATTTCTCGCGATTTTTATGGAACTTGGCTTAATACTTCGCTATATGAACAAAAAAAAAAAAAAAAAAAAGTGATTTTGGACGTCTGAAAGCAATTGAATTTTAGAAACGTCATTCTCCAGTTCTCCAATGTGCATCGAGTGGAAGGGCAGATGTTCTCAAACATATGGGATTTCGCAGGGTGGAAGGGCAGATGTTCTCAAACATATGGGTACCCAAAAACACAAGGACAACATAAGTTGTTAAAAAAAAAAATTTTTTTTTTCTTCGGAAACAAAGGACCAAAAAGATATTAATGCAGAATGTCTGTTCTCTGCCTTTTTACACCTGCCACTGAATGCATCGGATCACGCTGCAGCTTTATTTAGAAAAATGTTTCTTTTGATAGTGAAATCGCTAAGAAATACTTAAGTGCAAGAATGAAAACAGGTGCAGTTGTTAAAGAAATGAGTTTGAAAAATAAATCTTCAGTTATTGGTTGTATTAAAACAGCTCCGTTCTGCCTCTCTACGGATGGAAGCAATAATACTGATTCAAAACTGTATCCAATTGTTGTTTCTTTTTTTAATCCAGAGTCTTCAGAAATTGAGTGCAGTTTACTTTCTGTCCCCACTTTAGAAAGACATTCGACAGGCTTTAATCTAGCACAGCTTGTTAAGTCCCTCTGAAGCCAGATGGCGCTGCCATCGTTACTGTTTACAAAAAGAATGTTAATTACTTTGGAGTTGGCTTCAATGGCGAAGCAGAGAGTGATTGTGGGAGCCTGAGCGTCTCTCAAAAATTAGTATAATAAAGATAAAGATATGTTACAAAGTAGTTTGAAAATTAGTTTAATTGAGAGTTACAGTCCATTTAAAAATTGCCGGATCACAGCTAATTATTAAAACTTTAAAAGAAAATGCAGCCCGTCTGGATGATTGCTTAGCACTTGGTGCCGATAATGCGCCAGTAATGGTAGGCTTGAAGACTGGTGTTGCACGCATCTTAAGAAAGGAAAATTCACATTTGCAAATTATGAGGTGCATCTGCACCTCTTAAATTTAGCAGCTGAAAAAGAGACAGCTTCTTTACCAATAAATGTGGATGAACACATTGTTGATATTTATTGTCATCTTGAAAATTCTAAAAGGAAGGAAAAATTGAAATAGTTCCAACAGCTGCGTAATACTGAAATGAGAAAATTTTTGAAACATGTATGTACACGCTGGCTGTCTTTAAAGAAATGCTTTAAAGTAGTGAAAGAAATTTCAGAAGAAGACAAAAAGTTTTATCTTTATGTTAGAAGTTGCTTCTGTCGAGTATGCGATTACATACTACATAAATTTCCAATCAACGATGAAGTGATTTTGCATGCTAAAGTTGTTGATGTTTCTGCTCTAGCAAATGCATCTTTTTCTCATATAAGGTACTTTT